CTGTCCCTGCTGAATAAGATATAAGACATTCTGAACTGACCAAGGAACCAACCTCTCTAGGACCTTGCCCCTGTGGCTATGGAAGACTCCATGGGCCCCCCATCTCCATTCAAAGACTGCTGTGAAACCTCGCTCCCCCTGTGGTACATGAGCCTAGGACCCTGCAGTCCACTAAGGTGTCCACCAACCCAGGGGCAATTACATTAGTTAACTGTAAAATCCAACCCCTGGGTCACACGGGCATCACGTCAAGTGAGCAGCGGTCATCTGTCTCCCTGGAGGGCACAGACACAGCGCACCATCCTCACCACCACAGGTTCTACTGGGCAGCGCTTGGAACCTAAACCCAGACGACCCAGTGCTGGAGTGCAGGCCGCGTACCCACAACAATGTCAGCGCGGCCTGAGGCTTCTCAGGTGCCTCTCAGATGAAAATGCCCGTGTACAGACGGAAGGACCTTACCCCAGAAACAGCCCTGTGAGGCGAGCGAGTGTCACAGGGGCTCCTGGTCAGAAGGAGGGGACTGCAGCTCCCGCCCAGGGTTCTCCTCTTGACACATCAGTCACTAATTACATTTCATTAAGTCAATTCCAAGACCCCAAAAGTCTGTGGAACCAGAAGTGAAATGGAATGGGTGCACTGTCGCAATTAAATCGACCGTGAATAAACACACCCAACAAGAGGTAAGTCTGGGTAAGCCTCTCACAGCCTCCGAAGCTACGGGTCTCTGTGTGATAGACATTAAAAGTTAAACGAGATCTCTTCTACCTGTCTTGCTTTGTGGGCTGTGTCGATGCCATGATTTCTTAGGCAGCTCACAGCTCTTGGATCTGGTGCCCGGCCCACGTTCCAGGCAGAAACAGCACTGCTGTCAATGACCCACTGTAACACAAAACACACGCGTGCACCTTCAGGTTCAGGTACGGTACCTGCCGGGCAACGTGATTCATGGGAACACCATGCTTCTTCATGCAATTCTGCCCTCGATAATCAGGAGGGTTTCCTACTTCGTACGTGGAGGTCGCTGCACTGTCTATCCTCCACTGCAGGAGAAAAAAAAATATTTTTTCGCAATTTCCTGCCCTGAAGGCGTTCAGGTTGGCCTCTCTAAAACAGTGAACGGCACTTACCTTATCTGAGACGTTCTGATCAGTTACAAGTTTCCTGAAAACTGCCTCAGCAATGGGTGATCGACAGATGTTACCTTAAAAACAGAGGAGAGGGCAGAAGTGAGGGTCAGGTTTGAGGGAGGACAGGTGCTGACTGCCAGCACAGGGTGGCTGGTGGGCCTCGTCACACCTGCCCAGGGCACCCCTTCCCAGGAGAGCATCTGCTTGGAGGCCGTTGCCCTGCCCGTGGAGGCAGGACCTGTGAGCACCAGCTGGCCAAGCCCAAGTTCAAGGGTCTGACACCCACGGTTCAAGCACTCAAAGTACCAACGACAAAGACATCAGAAAGACAACCATAACCAAAATCAGTTTTCCAGGTTGCTATCAATGACCCCGAAGTGGGTCATGAAATCAACTTGGTGGGTAGTAACCAACTAATGTTAAAATGAAATACAACAGTTAAACAATAAAGCATTTTCAAGTATATTGCACTAACAAGGGTTACTACTATTTCATAAAAGACACGCCGATGTGCTTAGGCATGAGTAGTCAGCACACACTTTCACTTCATCCTGTGTGTGAAGTCCTTGCTGGAGCGGCTGGACCCGGGAGTCGGCCTGAGTCACAGGCACGGCTTCTAGGGCACCAGGCGGGGACCCCCAGGGCCACCCTCACTCAGACCAGCTTCCCACAAGTTTGTGAGTCCCACAGGTTACATAATCCTTTAGAAGGACTCACAGCACTCAGGAAATGCTATACTTACAACTGCACTTTTATTTTAATAAAAAGTTAACAGCAGAACCAGCCCAAGTTAAGGAGCACACAGCAGATCCTGGGAGGGCTCCCAGCAGAAAGCTTCCTGGCCTCAGGGACGCATCGACCGTCATCAGCTCAGCGTGAGCCCAGGATGCTCACCAGGCTAGATGCAGAGGGTGCGCTGGGTTCTCATTAGTAGGCATGACTGCCGGATTATCGGCCCGTGGCTGGATCCAGCCCCCAGGGCTGAGTTATCTCCTGGCAGCTCCCGGAGAACAAGACACTCCTCCCAGGAGCCAGGACAAAAGCCATCCCTTTTCTCAGTCCGGGCCTGAATTCCTCACCCACAGGGGAAAAGATAAAAGACATAAAATCTTCTCTGAAATTGTCTCTACCATGTGCCAAGCAAAGTATTTACAGAGATACAGAGTTAGCTACAATAAAACAGGAAAATCAACGCTGGTGATGGGAACACAGAAAAAAATTCTAAAAAGAATAAACAACCTAAGAAGAAAATTGGTTATCAGAAAACAAGGAAGGAAGAGTAGAGTGGATTTTTAAAGGCCGAAGAGGACCTTAATGGGCACCATCTTGAAAGGGGACTTGAGTCAGGGCGACTGGATGAATGAGCATATTTTCCACACTTTCCCCCAGATGGCTACTTTTACAGCAAGAAGATATCGGTATAAGTGTAGGTAAGAAAAAAAATTTACGCCCTAGCCGGTTTGGCTCAGTGGATAGAGCGTCAGCCTGCGGACTCAAAGGTTCCAGGTTCGATTCCGGTCAAGGGCATGTACTGTGGTTGTGGGCACATCCCCAGTGGGGGGTGTGCAGGAGGCAGCTGATTGATGTTTCTCTCTCATGGATGTTTCTCTCTATCCCTCTCCCTTTCTCTCTGTAAAAAATCAATAAAAAAATATTTTTAAAAAATTTACTACTGTAAAGATTAGAAGTTAAAATCCTACTACCTAAGAGATCAACAGATAAGAGATGCTTGTTTATACCTCGCTCGACATCACTAAACTGACATGTCATTTAAAGAGAGAGCCAGGAAAACACAGGACTCCAGGTTCCATCTTCAGAAAAGTTGTGAAACTTAAAATGTCTCCTTCAGATTTCTCTAGAAAAAAAATTTCAATCTATAAAGTCTCGTTTGTTTATTTCAAATTAGAAGCGTAACATGGACTTATTCAATACCTTCATTTCAAGGTAAGAGACTCAGAAAAAAATTAAATTCTCCAAGGGCAGACGTCCCACCCCAGGAGGCCCGCTGCAACACCCAGCACAGTGTGTGGCACACAGTCAGCTGTTGTCAGAAAAAGTCCTCCGACACCACGAATACGGTATCACCTGCAGCCTTGCTGGCTTGTTATCTTACAAAAACAGAAAAAACACTTAATAATCTTGCCAAAATAAGTTCAATTCAGTGAAAAGCATGTGACACTTTTTACTTTAGTCTGAAAAAGGTCCAAGTAAAGGCCCTGAAGGAAGGAGATCTGTACACTTTAGCAACAGCGCTCACTGTCCCGTGCACAGGTCCCAGGTGAGATGGTCCCGCCTGCGGCCCGCCCGCTGGTCTAATGTCAGCACAACAGCTGCGCACCGCTCCCCTCAGGCCTGGAGACGGGGACCAAAGCCCACCACCTCTGTGTGCAGCCCACGGAGCTAAACACAATTCACACATTTTTATATAGATTTCAAAAACCCTCAAAAGTAGAGGAACCCCTTGTGACATGGGAGAATGGTACGGAATTGAAACCTGTGTCTTTAAGTAAAGCCGCTGGGCCCAGCCATGCTCGACCCTTTATGTGCGAGGGCCCGCAGAGCACAAAACAGAGACAGCTCGAAGACTCCTGGCCCCAGGCCCTCGATGCACAGCGGGCAATGCCTCCTCCCTCCGCACCCGGAGGTGCTCGTTAGCATCCACCGGGGCGGCGAGAAACGTCACCTCCCACCTCCCACGCGCAGGTACAGAGGAGGGTGCGGAGGGCTGGAGAATTAGGTCTCCCCGGTTTGGCTTTTACAACAAAAACTCCAAACCTGTGCAGTGCATCTGCCTTCAGCTCAGATCCACTCACAGGCCTGGGCCGTGGACACCACCACCTAAGGCCGCGCTGTGCTGGGTCTGGGGCAGCAGGAGCCCCCCCTCCCCGCCCCCGCAGCGTCAGGAC